TTGTTAGCTTGCAGTGTTCTTGTTTGCTCAATTGAGAAACTGCCTGTTCAGATTTTGGAAGTATGACTCTGGTGGAGAGAAAGAAAGGAAGGAAGGTGATTTTCCTGGTAGTTAAGAAAGTGAGAAGAACTGGCCATGTTCAGTTATCCTATCCACCATGCTATTTCCATTGTAGCTGACTAGAAGCCTATAAGAAGTTCATGAGGAAGACACGTGTTCAATAACATCTTCTTTGTTATATTTTCTAGCAACTACTATCCCACAGCCCTGATACTGGAAGAAATATATTAACAGCAGATTTAGAAGCCATTAACAGCTTTATGTTCCATATATTCAAATCCCCTTGTTAACCTACCCAGGTTAGCAACCATCACTATACCTTACAGAAGTGAATTCCATAGTTTGACTACTGAATGTATGTGTATGGGTTAATGTAGAATCACAAAAATTGGTCTCACTTCTAGCCTGACACCAACTAGATTCATTTCCCCAAGTCTGTATATGGATAGGTTCCATAGGTTTGTTCTTAAGTTGAATTTGTATAACTTAACAGGTATATTTATTTCTAAGTGTACCTCCAGACAATATATATATATATATATATATAGAGAGAGAGAGAGAGAAAGCGCTTTGGATAGCATATGAACGGGTTAAAACCCCTGTAGTGTTTGTTGCCACAGTACAGAAGATTTCACCCCACTTTCTATCCCAGTGATAATTGGATTTTGACAAATGTGGCTTGTGGAAACCAAGATTGGTGATAAAGCATCAGTTGAGGCACCTTTTTCTCATGATAACACTTTCAGGAGTGAATTTCCCTTCCTAGGTATAGGTTTCTCTCACTTCCTGTTGTTTCACCCCGTTCTTAACTATGAGTCATTGTAAGTCAGGTGTTTGTAACTCAGGAACTGCTTCTAGATGTGTACAGAGCTGCATGCATAGCTTCAACAGAGATCATCACACAAATCGAGCCAAGTAGAATACTCAGTTACACTCCCCCACTTCCACATGCATATCTGACCATCTGAATAGAGCAGTAATTCATATTTTTTTAAGGATTTCACAGATAAAAGAGCAGAAACAAACAAAATGTGATTGCTATGACCAATCTTTTAGCAAAGAATAATTCAGCACAGACAAATACAGCTTGTCAGTCATGTATAATGGTCTTCCAAGGGCTTGACAACCTACCCCTGCTCATGGTGTCCCAGACAGGGAAAAAACCATGACAATTTATAGAACAGTGTAAGCAGATGTTATTGCATTTGGGCCAGAAGGAGAGTAGTTTGTGATATGACAAATGAGCAGAGACTCATTCACACTACAAAACTATAACACTGTGATTCCTTTTAAACAACCATCCCAGGATTCTATGGCATTGAGCCAGGGCAGTCAAAAAACCATTGTGGTTCCATCCTATGCCATCCTGGGATTTGCAGTGTAGGAAAGGGCATTTAGTGTTCCAGTACCTGAGATCATTTCCATTTAATGGTGACCTTAAGACAAACTTATGATGGAGTTTCCTTGGCAAATTTTGTTCAAAGAACTCTGAAGCTGTCTTTGCCTACCACTGAGCCTGGGAGAATATGACTTGCCTGATGTGACCCCCATGAGTTACCATGGCCAAGCAGGGATTTGAACCTTGGGCTCCAAAGTCATAATCCAATGCTCAAACCACTATACCATGTTGACTCACTTTTCCCTTTGAAAAGGTATATGGGACTTGTATTAGGCAATGGGCATGATGGAATTACTTCCAATACTCAATGAAGAGTAGTCTTTCCCTGGTGGTGTGTACAAAAGTGCAGAAAACATATGCCTTGTTCTACATCAGGCCATTCAAGCCTGTGACCCTGTATGCTAGCTAAGATGGACAGATGGTCTATCGAGATCATCTCCTACTTCTGAATATGGTGGCCAAATATGTAACACTTCGAAAGAAAGCAGGCATGAAAGTGCAGTAATGCACCTGGCTATCCCGGTTATTTCTGCAAGGATGAAAGCATCTATTTGTTTGCTGTAGGATAGGAGCTAATTGCCTACAGCAATCAGGAAGGAAGATTTGATGGCTATTATCTTAGCATGAATAGCTGCAAACGCTCTTACTAATGTAGAATTGTGTGTGGAGGACTCTGTGTTCTTTCCTTCCTATATGCATATTTATGGGCAGATCCATATGGATGTTGCAGAGCCCAAATGTATGATTGATGATCCTGATTTGTCCTTGACCTTTCTGCCTATCCAATTAGCTTTGCTACAGTGGGGGAAATCATGGCCCATTGCTATTCTGACCCAACTGCCTGTTCCATGAAGGCACTTGTCTCATCTCTATGCAAGTTCCCATTCACCATCTTATCATTGCAATTGCAGTGAATTGGAGAGCACCTTACAGCTGCTTCCTTCCAAACTCTGGAGTGTCTGAAGCACAATAACGTGATGAGAAGTGGAAAAGGAGCCAAGCCAGAACAGTTGGCAAGCTTGAAATTGCAAATAGAAGAATAGCATTTCCTCTCATTTATTTTTTTCCCCTGTAAGCAGTTATTAAGACACAGTCCTTTCATAGTCTTATAGATCAGTTTATCTCAACCTGGGAGTCAGGACCTCTGGGGGAGTCACAAGGGGGGTGTCAGGGGGGTCACCAAAGACCATCAGAAAACATGGTATTTTCTGTTGGTCATGGGGGTTCTGTATGGGACGTTTGGCACAATTCTATCCTTGGTGGGGCTCAGAATGCTCTTTGATTGTATATAAACTATAAATCCCAGTAACTTCCAAATGTCAAGGTCTATTATCCCCAAACTCCACCAGTGTTCACATTTGAACATATTGAGGACTTGTACCAAGTTTGGTCCAGATCCATCATTGTTTGAGTCCACAGTGCTCTCTGGATTTGGGTGAACTACAACTTCAAAACTCAAGGTCAATGCCCACCAAACCCTTCCAGTATTACCTGTTGGTCACAGGAGTTCTATGTGCTAAGTTTGGTTCGATTCCATCATTGGTGGAGTTCAGGTTAACTATAAATCCCAGCAACTACAACTCCCAAATGACAAAATCAACCCACCCCCAACCCCACCAGTATTCAAATTTGAATGTATCGGGTTGTTGTTGTTCATTTGTTCAGTCGTTTCCGACTCTTCGTGACCTCATGGACCAACCCATGCCAGAGCTCCCTGTCAGCCCCCAGCTCTCTCAAGGTCAATCCAGTCACTTCAAGGATGCCATCCATCCATCTTGCCCTTGGTCGGCCCCCTTCCTTTTTCCTTCAATTTTCCCCAGCATCACTGCCTTCTCCAAGCTTTCCTGTCTTCTCATAATGTGGCCAAAGTACTTCATCTTTGCCTCTACTATCCTTCCCTCCAATGAGCAGTCAAGCTTTATTTCCTGAACTATGGACTGGTTGGATCTTCTGGCGATCCAAGGCACTCTCAGAACTTTTCTCCAACACCACAGTTCAAAGGCATCTATCTTCCTTCACTCAGCCTTCCCTAAGGTCCAGCTCTCACATCCGTAGGTGACTGAGGCGGAAAACCATTGCTTTAACTATTCGGATCTTCGTTGCCAGTGTGATGTCTCTACTCTTCACTATTTTATCGAGATTGGACATTGCTCTCCTCCCAAGAAGTAAGCGTCTCCTGATTTCCTGGCTGCAGTCTGCGTTTGCAGTAATCTTTGCACCTAGAAATACAAAGTCTGTCACTGCCTCCACATTTTCTCCCTCTAGCGGGTATTTGTGCCAAATTTCATCCATTGGATGCAAATACATCCTGCATATCACATATTTGCATTACGATTAATGACAGTAGCAAAATTACGGTTATGAAGTAGCAATGAAAATAATTTTATGGCTGGGGGTCACCACAACATGAGGAACTGTATTAAGGGGTCACAGCATTAGGAAGGTTAAGAGCCACTGATATAGATTATGATACAAAGCTAGATTCAGTCTTAGAAAAACTGTAACCAGAACTCTTTATCAGTATCAGGAACTAATATACTCAACCAAATGTATGCCTGTTTTCCTTACAGCTTGCTCCTTGGAATTTGGCTTGTTTATTCAGTTGCTTTAGGTTTGACTTACTCATGTGGAGTGGATCAATGTACTATCTGCCTGATTCATAGAAATCAGAGTTTTGAAGTCCCTTTTGCATTTTCCTTACACCTGTAGCCCAAACTAGCCTTTAGTGTTGACCACTGAGTTTACCTATGGGGCAGATTAATCTATAATGATTGAGACTGACTACATTTGAAAAGTAAGTGTATGTAAAGCAAAAGCAGGTGATATTAATAGATTTTTTTGGGTGGGGGGGATTTAAATCCATGACTTCATCTGCCCTCCAGCTAACTGCACAATATTTTCAGATTCTTAGCTAATTAAGATGAGTAAATGTCAGAATAATTCCTTTGGGGAATGGGGATGGAGGGAGGTCATCTTAATATTCTAGGAAAATTTTCTGATTTGCCAGAGAAGCACTACTGAGATTCAAGAGAGAAAATGACTTCCAAAATAGGTTAAACATGTTGCATTTTGAATTGGCTATTCCTATTTTTAAATTATTTGGATACCATAAAAAACAAAGAAGTCTTGTAGCATCTTTGAGATTGAGAAAAAATGCATACTCTACAAACATTCATAGATTTGATAAGCTTCATCAGATACAACTGAGTCTAGGAAAGCATATGCTACAAACCTCTTTAAGTCTCAAAAGGGCTGCAAGATTCCTTTGGATATAGCCGGATATTATAGCTATCAGGACCAATTAAATGCCAAAAAAGATATGGGAGCTTTCAATTGTGGACTTTCTTGTTTCTTGCCCAGCCAGTAATTTCTGTAACACCTGATTTTAGTTAGTATTAATAAAAGTATTGCCTGAATCTGAGTTTTGATGATATAATGTTTACTCTCTTTACTAGTAGAGTTTAGTGGATGCTTGTTTGGAAGGATACTGAGAAAGCCCTTATCCAACACTTATCACTCTGTCTGTCTGTTTTGGTTCTAGGATTATCTTCCAATGGAGCAAAAATGACCAAGACTTGATGTATCCTCAGCACCATCTTCCAGAAGCAATGCTGTAGGAAACCATAGCGCTATGAAAGGCTTAGGTGATAACAGAAGCCGCCATCTTTCTGATAACCTGGACTCACCTCAAGACTCTCTTTATGCTACCCAAGACAGGAACCCTTATCTCCTCAGTCCCACAGACTCATACACAATGGACCCTCGGTTCCCTACACCAAATTCTCTCCACAGTGACTGCCTCCTTCCACTCAACAACCAAATTTCCAACAGCAGCACATTTCCACGGATCCACTACAACTCTCACTTTGAGGTACCTGATGAGAATCCTTTCCCAAGCCATGCCCAAGCCACCAAGATCAACAGACTTCCTGCCAACTTGCTAGACCAGTTTGAGAAACAGTTGCCCATCCACAGAGATGGTTTTAGCACCCTCCAGTTCCAGAGGAGCTCTGATGCCAAACAGCGGAGTGAGAGCCCCGGAAGAATCCGGCACCTGGTTCACTCAGTCCAAAAACTTTTTGCTAAGTCACAGTCCCTGGAGGGAGCCTCCAAGGGCAGTGTGAATGGCAAGAAAGGCATTGAGGACTCTAAGCAGAACCGCAGGAGCAAGAGCAAAGACCGGGCCAAAACTACTGAAACAAAGCGCAGGACCAGATCCAACATATCGGGCTGGTGGAGCTCAGATGACAATCTGGACAATGACACCTGCAGTTATCGTAATCCTATGGGCCTCATGACCCTTGGCAGGCAGCCTGATCATAGCCAGCCCAGGTACTTCATGCATGCTTACAACACAATCAGTGAACACATGCTGAAATCCTCCAAGAGCAATAATGACCTCAAGGTCGCCCCTTGCACCAACATCCCCATCAGCGGTGAGTCCAACTACATAAAGAGAGGCTCCTGGTCCACGCTCACGCTCAGCCATGCCCGGGAGATGTGCCAAAAAGCTTCTGCTACCATTGACAGAGCACTGCTGAAATCCAAGTCCTGCCATCAAGACTTAGCCTATCAGTACTTGCAGGTGGGTACCAGGCTTGAGCCTTTCAGGTATATAAATGTTTTATAAAGGGCACTTGGATTCTAAGCAGCCAAGGAGACTGCTTTTCTTTCATTTACAGGAAAGTAACATGGTCGTAGCTAAATAAATAATTCATTTTGTGTATCCATTAATTCAAGCCCTCTTGATCTATTCTTGCCTGGTGAGGTGTAGAGCTAGATGGGAATGATATAACAGGGACTTGAGTATTAAGGTTATCACAGAGAGATCTTCTGCTTTGACCTATTGAACAAAGCTTGAAAATGCAACTTTTTGGATGGCAAGTCCAAGACTGTTAGCTAGGTGCATTCCATTGTTTTTTCTCAGTTTCACAAATAGGAACATTTTTATATATGTGTGATTCCAAGGCGCACTACCACTTGTAGAACTGGTTGTGCAATTACCCTGGTTATGCAACTAGTACTCATACAAATGGAAAGTGTCTTAAACTTCTCCCTTGCACATTTTTAGGAACTAAGAGGACATCTATACTGTAGCATTCATGGAATTTGACACACCTTTAACTACCAGGGCTCAATTCTATTAAATTCAGAAATTTTAGTTTGGGGAGGCACCAGCACTCTCTGGCAGAGATGGCTAAAGTCTTTTGGAAAGCTCAGTCTCCTATGACTCCATAGCACTGAGTCAGGACAATTAAAGTGATGTCAACTGTCTGCAGATGTACCCAAGATGTCTCCACAGTAGATCATATTCACTAACTTAGGGCAATTTATCCACATCTTCCGACATAGCAACATTATACGTTTCTCCAATTTTGTTTTCATTGCTTCCACTTGTAAAAACAAGGAAAAAAATAAGATTGAAACTTCAAAAATTGTGATAAGGGTTCTGGGAGGGTTTTTGCTCAAGAAGCACATTTCAGGGTCAGAAGTGTTCCACAAAAAAACTAGTCTTACCTGGAGTGTTCAAAACCATAGTTTTCACCCCAGAATTGCCACTCTAATTGTCTACTAGGGTTAAAAGCACAAAAGGTGCACAGTCAAGCTTTCAGAAGGTGATACGGTTGAGAGGGAGCATCAATTAATAATAATAGTAAAAAAAAGTGAAACTAAAAAGAGAAAAGTATAGCTATATGTTACCATTTGTATTTTCTACTCCTTTTATGATAATTGAAATCTGTGTTATAATTAAAATGTTGTTCCATCTATCTCAGTATTGTTAAATCTGATGGGCAGCTCTGCCAAACAACTCTAGATTTCTCCTAGCCTTACTTTGTTAGCCCTGGTATTTCCTGGAAGTCTCTCATCCAGCACTAAGTATACCCAGTCCTACTTAGCTTCTAAGATCAAATGAGACTGGATGTCTTCAGTACAATATGATGGGATCAAGAATTGTTATTGAGTCATTACAGTTATGGACAAGCACATAATTTTTCTAACTTTGTTGCTGTTGCTAATTGCTGTTGGCGTTGACATAGTAACTCTATGATTGCCAAGACACCTTGTTACCAACAGCCTATCTTCCTGCAAGCTCAGGGTTGTGGCTACATTGACTGAGCCTTTCCACCTGTTTTCCTCTCTTTCTACAGCCTTACTCCAAACATCTTGTATGTCCACATTATGATAGCCTAGTTTAGTTGTTTTGGCTTCTAGGCTTGATTTGCTCTCAGAACCATTTATTTGTCATTTGTGTACTCCATCATACTTACAGACAGCTCTTTTAGTATCTCATTAGTCAATTCTCTTCCTGTCAGCTTTCTTCAATTTCCAGCTCACACAGCCATAGATAGAAATCAGAACTACTTTGGCTTCTAGTTTAGTGATACTGAATGCAGCATTCAAGAAAAACAGAAAACAAATGCAGAAGTAATTTGCCCCAGGAGCAATTTTTAGCCTTTCCATTAACAGTGCTTTGTTGCAAATATCACTTGGCAAGACCCTTAAAATGAAAAACATGTTTCTCATTTACCAGTGGGTCCTTGTTTACTAATCTGTGAGATATGCTTGAATAACACAATTAGATTTGCATATCCCATTCTGAACCACTGGCAGCTTGCAAGCAGTAGAAACTGATGCCGGCTTGATCTCTAGTCCTCTGCAGTAGCACCACAACAGATGGTGAGAGCACACTCTGTGGCATTCAGCCCAGTTGGGAAATATTTTGCTGGGGAGAATTACCAGTTTTACCAAGTAGGGACCTGAAAACAATGGGGTTTGTTTACCTTTGGAAAAGATGTGTGTTCATTACCTAAGGGAAAAGAAAAACACAGGAAAAGGGTCTTTGCTTTGATTTTTTTATTTAAAAAAACATATGGTTTAATATGATGCCTCTGCCTATAATCTGAAATGGAACATTCTTAGACTGACTCGACCATATACATTACCATGTGTTCTTATGAGCTCCATTTAATTCACAGTTGTACTGTTAAGGAATCCATATCAAAACCATATTTAGCAATTCTATCAGCTAGTAAAGTGATGTTCAGCATGTATTTTAAGAATATACACAAAAACTTGATGGATCAGACCCAAGTCCATCCAACATCTTATTTCATTGAGCAGTTGCTTGTTTATTTGTTTGTTTGTGCTCCTTGCATAGAACCCATAAGCAGGGCATACAGCAGTAGCCATCTCCCACTGTTGTTCCCAAGCAAATGTCATTTTAAAAGAATACTGTCTCTGAACCTGAGAGCAGCATGTTGTCATTGACAAACTTATCCTCCAAGATGTCATACTGTGACCGAGGATAAAAAATGTATGGAGGGTAAATGTGCCTCCCTATTGCTTAGTCTTCACTGCCAGGGACAAATCGAAAGCCAGCATTGAGCCATTGTCTGTGTTTCTCTCCTTATATTGCATTGGGTTGGAAGTTTTTGCTAGTGCCCCTTGCATGTGGGTGTGGGTTTATACAGACACACAATTCAAGCTGTAGGGAAAGGGACTCAGTGCCTTCTATGACATCTCCCTGCTTCCTAAGGGACTTCCATGTCCTGAGCAGCCATTAGCACAGCGTTTCTCAACCTGGGGTTAAGAACCCGGGGGGGGGGTCACAATGAGGGTGTCATAGGGGTCGCCAAAGAACATCAGAAAACACAGTATTTTCTGTTGATCAAGGGGATTCTGTGTGGGAAGTTTGACCCACTTCTATTGTTGGTGGGGTTCAGAATGCTCTTTGATTGTAGGCGAACTATAAATCCCTGCAACTACAACTCCCAAATGCCAAGATCTATTTTCCCCAGACTCCACCAGTGTTCACATTTCATCATATTGAGTATTCATGTCAAGTTTGGTCCAGATCTATCATTGTTTGAGTCCACAGTGCTCTCTGGATGTAGGTGAACCACAACTCCAAAACTCAAGGTCAATGCCCACCAAATCCTTCCAGTATTCATGGGAGTTCTGTGTGCAAAGTCTAGTTCAATTCCATTGTTGGTGGAGATCAGAATGCTCTTTGATTGTAGGTTTACAATAAATCTCAGAAACTACAATTCCCAAATGACAAAATCAATCACCCAACCCCACTGGTATTCACATTTGGGCATATCAAGCATTTGTGCCAAATTTCATCCAGTGGATGAAAATACATCCTGCATATCAGATATTTTCATTATGATTCATAACAGTAGCAAAATTATAGTTATGAAGTAGCAACAAAAAAAACTGTGGTTGGAGGTCACCACAACATGAGGAACTGTATTAAAGGGTTGTGGCATTAGGAAGGTTGAGAACCACTACACTAGCAGGGAGACAATGCTACAGCTGCACATTTCAGATTTATTGATTAAAACTAGAAAAGGACATGAGAAGTATTGCAAAATTCAAGGCTCAATGCTCAGCCTCTCCATTCCAGAGGTCAGTGGCATTTGGATTTGCAGACTTGACCGTTTCAAAAATTACAAGTTAGGACTTGGCCTTTACTACAGTCGTTTTCAAAAATATATCTAGACTTTTTTTTCTTGGGTAGATCAATTTTTCTCCCTCTTGATTACAAAGTATACAAACATTAAATACAGGTTGAGCATCACTTATTGAGAAGTTTGAAATCTGAAAGGTTCACATGTGTGCCTAAGATAGTGACACCTATGTTTTCTAATGTTTTACTATACACAAAATATTACAAATAGTCTGTATAAAAGTATCTTCCTAAGTATAAGACATATATAAAATATAAATGAATTTCATGTTTAGATTTGGGTCCTATTTCCAAGCTATCTCATTATGTACATATATGCTAATACAGGTATTCGACAATTCAAACCTAATATTGCAATATCAGATAGACTGTACACAATGAAAAAATTATGGTTTGCTTTAATTCAGGTTAGAAAAGGGGGTGTAATGTAAAATAATGTTTCAGTTTAAAAAGAAATATTAGGTTTGGGGAAAAGTTGGCTGCTGCACTTGGCCCAGGACATCACCCTCCCATATCCTCTGGCTGTCTCAATTAGGCAGAGACAAACTATCCCACTTTTTCAGCTGCTTTTAAAACATCCCAGTTTCTCTCCTCCTCCTCCTCATCCTGAGGTTATATCAGTTGCTGCAAACTGGGTTTGCATTTAATTAACTCAGCAGGATGAAGAGCAGTGGATGCAATCTTGTCTTTCTCTGTAGGTTGAGGCAAAAACAAACTTCTGCAGCACCGGGTAGCTTGTGTATTCTTCCACATTAGTAACTTTTGCCATTGTGATCACACTCTGATGTTGCTTGGCCAGATGAGTCTCAGTTTTCATCTGTAAAATACTATAGCTCATTTCCTCTTAATTTTAGCAGGACATTGTAGCCACGGGCTGATCCGTTAAAATGTCAATTTTATATTTATTTTTAGTAGATCGTTTATTTTTCACAGTACAGGCCCTCGAAAGCTTGGCTCTCTAGAAGTCCAAGCATTGGGGTTCTGGCTTCATCCCACCCTCACTTCTCTTGATCTCAGTCCTGGAAGAAGAAGCTATAAAGCAACAATTGCAAGATAGCAACAGATGAAAAGGTGACCATAAATGAAAAATAATAAGTACAAGAGAGGATCTT